CAACCCTACCCCATGAATAACACTCCCTCAGTCTCTGACCCCGCTGGTTTTTCTATCTTTGTCTCATGGGTTTGGTTGTCTTCTAAACTCAGCTCAATATTTATCACCTCATCCAGTGTTTCTCTTCACCCCAGGAAGACTTCATATACTGGCTTGGTCCATCCCAACCTTGACCCAGAATGTGGCTGTATGCATGCCAACAAACCTCAGCCTCAGTTTCCCTCCTTCTCTGACATCAGGTTGTAGAGCATCCAGTGCTGAACAGTGGAAAGCCCACTTCAGACCTGCTGTTCAAAGCCTCAGCACCTCCCCTGGGATTCACCTTCTACTTGATAACACCTGTCCCTGCGAAGAAGCCCCAGGCTGGACCCACCAGGTGCAGGCTACAGACGTCACAGCGTTCTGCCCTGGTCATTGAAAATGAGGTGGGACCCCAGTGTTCAACCCTTTTCCCCATGACAAATCTGAGTTCCTCATAGACCAAGGGGTATAAAAGGAACTTGATTCCCAGGAGCATTGGGGATAAGAAAAGGAAAATTAAGTCCTAGGAGACACGGGGACAACAAACAGAACGGAGAGTGAATTGTAGGTGAGAATGCTGTATATCATCTCTGGAGAAAAATGGAATAAGGCCAGAGATGAGATATTGCCAGGACAAGTTGGTGGCAGTGTTGGACGGAAGGTCCAGGGGCAGGCTTCCCTGGGAAGAGGACACTCAACCATGCCCTCAAGAGAGGTGAGCAAAGTGGGGGGCTGTTATGAGGGTAATCCAGACAAAAGAGCAAGCAGGAGCTAATGTCCTGAACAGCAGCTGGGGTGTACGAGCTATGGTATATAGATCAGCGTATCAGAAACAGAGAGGTCGGGGGAGGTGCGAGCATGAAGGGGATCAGCAGATAGTTAGGGTCTGGAGGGTCACAGCTAAGCCTGCAGTGTACTCTTGGTGAAGTGAAATCTTCAGAGGGGACTGAGCAGACAAGGAAACATCGCCTGATTTGGGTGTTAATGACGTTTAGGGGAAAGCTTGTGGGCATCAAGGAGGGAAGGCAGGAGGCCAGGGAGGGAATGGCAGTGGTGACTGGGTTGGAGGTAATAGAAGAAATGGTGCATAGTTGGGATGAAATTGGAAGAGTCCACAATTTTCTGAGGAATTGGGCATGTGGTGTAAAATAAAAGAATAGTCCAAGATGACTCCAGACTACTCTATACCCTGAGTGCCTGCATGGGCAGAGAGTGATCATTGCTGGGACAATGGTCATTAGCCTCAGTCTGCCCCCCACACCACCCACACCCCACCACACCCCCACACCCCGCCCCTGTCTCTCCAGCACATGCGGGTGGTATTTGACAAACACACGGGGATCTTAAAGGAGATTGAGAACCGAGACCAGAAGCTTCTGTTACGGGTCCAGCAGACGTTCTTCTGGTGAGGAGTAGCCGCCATGGTTGGGAGGGTGTCGGTGAACAGAACTGGCCTTGACCCAATGCTCTTGCCTACACTTGCCTCAGGTACAATGCCAGCAGGAACTCGGGAGCCTATGTCTTTGCACCTGAACAGTTGAATCCACTGCCCATGAGTTTCTCACCTGACATACAACTGGTGAAGGTTTGGAGGGGCAATGATGTGGGTGTCAGAAAGGAGTGTGCTAGAAGGGATACTACCTGTGTGGGTGGGAAGGTTTGCTGGTTTAAGTTATGTGGTGGTTCTTTGAAGGGTCATCCTTGATCTGTGGAAACTTAGCTACGGGGACAAGTATCAGTGGCTTTCTCATTTTGTGTAAGTGTAAAGATTGTACCTTGCACTAGAAATCAGAGAATTCACATTCATAACCACAACTGCCTATCTTAATGAAACTAAAACTCAACCCACTGCCATGAAGTCCATTCTGCCTCACAGGGTGACCCGATCGAGGGATTGTAGACTGTACATCTTCAGCGACACAGACAGCCTCATCTTTCTCCTGTGAATCAGCTGACTCTCCCATCTGTGGGTCATCCATTAGCGTGTCCAGAAGAGTATTATGGTCTCAAGATTGAGGAAAATTAGACCTATCCTATCGGTTGGCTTTCATCCCTTCTTCCCGTCCTTTTCTTAATCTGGTTTCAAAGTCTGGCAGCTCC